GGACTTGGTTGATTATAAAAGGGCCTTCCCAAGTTGGTGACCACTTTCCATAACCAGCTACATGTGTTCCGAGGGGCAGCACTGCTTTCCAGACTATTTCTCCTTCTTCAAAACTCTTGTTTTTAACTCTCTTGTTGTATGCTCTTGACACAGCCTGTTTCCCTGCTAAGAGTTTGTTGAGGGTATCAATTCTACTTGCATCCAATCCTTCCAGTTCCAGCAGCATGGCTTGATTATAGTCTTCTCCAACCAGTTCGTGTTGGTGGGCAATTCTGAGGGATTGGACTGCTATTTCCATAGGCAGAATTGCATCATGTCCATAAGTCAAAGCATATGGAGTCATACCAGTTGCTTCCCTTTTTGAAGTTCTGTATGCCCACAAAGTTTCTGACAGCTTCTCATGCCATTGCTTTGATTTTTCTCAAGCATTTTCCTGATAATATTGATTATCACTTTATTACTTTATTCTGCTTGTCCATTGGCTTGAGCATAATAGGGAGTGGACTGGAGTAGCTTAAATTTGAATGCTTCTGCCATATCTAACATATCTCCAAATATGAAAGAAGATCCCCTGTCAATCACTTTATTACTTGATTCTGCTTGTCCATTGGCTTGAGCATAATAGGGAGTGGACTGGAGTAGCTTAAATTTGAATGCTTCTGCCATATCTAACATATCTCCAGATATGAAAGAAGATCCCCTGTCGGTAGTGATTGATTCCGGAATGCCAAATCTCTGTATGATCTGTTCTTCTATGAAAGTAATGATTTCTTGGGATGTGGTAGATTTAACAGGCTTGGCCTCCACCCATTTGGTAAAATAATCCGTGGCTACAATGATGAAACAATGCTGTTGGCTGCTGGCTGGATAAATTTTGCCAATGAGGTCCATTGCCCATCATCTGAACGGCCATGGCTTGACTACTGGATTCATGGGAACCGAAGGAACCTGCTGGATTGGTCCATGTCTTTGACAAGCTTCACATCCCTTGGAATAATCAATGCAATCTTTCATCATGGTTGGCCAGATATAACCATACCTTCTGATTAGCCAACACATTTTCATTCCACCTTGATGTGCTCCACATATTCCTTCGTGGGTTTCTCCCATGACCTTCATGTATTCTTTCTTTCCCAAGCATCTTAGCAATATCTCATCCTTGCTTTTTCGGACCAGATCTTCATTCCACATAAGATAGTTTGAAGCCATGATTCTGACTCTCTTTTCAGAAGGCAGAATTGGATACTGCAAGTAGTTTATGATGGGAGTTCTCCAATCATCTTCAGTGATTACGGCAGAATTGACATCTACCTCCATTCCTCTGGCTAGAACAGATGGCAGACTTTTCTTTCCTACCTTAATAATCCTCTGCACACAGTCTTCCGGGATTTGTATTCCTGTAGCTATTTGAGCCAGTTCATTGGCTGCGAAGTTCTCTTCTCTTGGGATGTGTTCCCAAGTGGTTTCCCTGAATTCTGTCAACAGATTCCTAGCTGCTACTAAATAGATAGCTAAAGCAGGGTTCAAACATTTGTATTCTCCAGCAATCTGTTTTAAAACAAGCATAGAATCTACCATGATTAGAGCTTCGTATTCAGCTCTGTTGTTGGTGCATTGGAAATCTAACTGAAAAGAATAACAGTGTCTGATTCCCAAAGGTTCTTCTAGAACAATCCCTGCTCCGGAAGCTAAGTCAGTTTTTGATCCATTAAAGTACAGCTTCCAAGGTGTGAGATGAATTGAATAAATGGGATTGTTAAGGCAAACATGAGCTCTTGTCAGTAGATCCGCATTTGCTATATCCAAAGAATCCATATTTTCAATTTCTTCTCCTGGATGATCGGCTAGGAAATCTGCTACAGCTTGCCCCTTGACAGCTTTCTGAGGGACATATCTGAAAGCAAATTCTGTGAGAGCCAGAGTCCATTTCCCAATTCTGCCTCTCAACATTGGCCTTGTTAACATATATTTGATTAGGTCTGTCTGGGCAATGATATAAATGGTGAATGGTAGCATGTAGTGTCTGAGTATTATAGCAGTGAAGTACAAAGCCAGACAAAGCCTTTCGATTGCAGAATAATTTCTTTCTACTTCTGTCAGAGTTCTGCTCAGATAGTATACCGCTTGTTCCTTCCCTTCCTTGTTGTCTTGGGCTAACAGACTTCCAATTGACGTTCCTGATGCAGACACATAGAGTTTGAGCGGTCTGCCTTTCTTTGGTGGGGACAGAACTGGTGGATTTGACAGATAGTGCTTAATTTCTTCAAAAGCCTGTTGGTGTTGTCCTTCCCATTTAAAAGTCTGTTCCTGTTTTAGCCTTAACAAGGAAGAAAAAGGCTGAATTTTCCCCGCGGAATTGGATATGAATCTTCTTAGGAAGTTAATTTTTCCCAGAAGACTTTGCAGCTCTTTCTTGTTCCGAGGTGGTTGAGCTTCTATAATGGATTTTGCTTTATTTTTGTCAACTTCTATGCCCCTCTGATGGACCAAAAAAACCCAAAAAGTTTCCTGACTGTACTCCAAAAATACATTTTTTAGAATTCATTTTCAATCTATGCTGTCTTATTCTTTGGAATGCCTTTCTCAGATTGGACACATGATTTTCTGCTTCCTTGGATTT